AAGCAACAGAAAACAAAAAAAAAAAAAAAAAAAAACAAATGACTAGAATCACAATGGAACTGAAAAAAGAGATTGTTGAAAAATATGAAGGTGGCACATGTGTTTGAGATTTAACTGTTGCGTACCATATTCTGAGAATGACAATATCGACAATTGTGAAAAATAAAGACATTATTAAATCTGCTAACGTTGCAAAAGGAGTTAAATCAATTTCTAAACAGATATCGAAGACATTAGATCATGTTGAGAAATTGCTTTTGCTTGGATAACTGAAAAACAGTGTGCTGGCGACATCCTATCAGAAGCAATTATTTGTGAGAAAGCTAAAAAGATACATGTTGATCTCATGAAAAATCAAGCAGGAACTAGCCAGGAAAGCGAGATGTTTAAAGCCAGCCATATTTTTTTTACATGAAAATGGATTAATCATTTTTACATTACTTCTTATGGAAAAGGTTGGTTTGGTATACGTCCTATTTGGTATAAGTCCAAACATCAGGAATGGATTAAGGTCGTATACCAAGGTTCCACTGTATATCGTATGGCCAATTGTTATCTTTTTGCCTGCTTGTTTATCTGAAAATAAACAAGTATAATTTATTTATATAGTTTGAGAGGATTCATATCTGTCAAAAAAATTTTTTTTTCCAAATATTACAAATTAATTTAATTAAACATTAACTGATTTAATTGTTGAAATAAAATTGGTACTTGTATGGCAAGTTATTTACTTTTATTTGCAAGTAATGTTTTCTAATAACAAGTGTATTAGCAAAATTCAAGATTTGCAGATAACATAGTTATCATTGAAGAAAATGAAGAACAATTAGAGAAAACATTACATCTGCTTAATGAAGAAGGAAAAAGATATGGACTGACTATCAATAGCGAAAAAACGAAGACAATGATATTTGGTGATAACAACATGACAAGAAACATCCTAATAGATGGGAAAGAAATTGAAAATGTAGAAAGCTTTACATATTTAGGAAGCAACCTAACCTATAATCTGGATTGCAAAAAAGAAATAGAGATTAGAATAGCCAAGGCAAAAACAAATTTGAAAGCAATGGACAAAATCTGGAAAAGTAAAGCAATTAGTTGCAGACAAAATTAAAAGCATTGAACACCTGTATCTTCTCCTGCATGCTGTATGCCTGTGAGACATGGGTAATAACAAAAGATATGGAAAGAAAAATATTAGCATTTGAAAGACACTGTTACAGAAAGATCTTTCAAATAGGATGGATGCAGAAAGTCACAAACGAACTTTATAATATGATATATATGAAAAAGAATCTCTTACAAAAAATTATACAATGAAAACTTCAACTGTTTGGACACATCAGAAGAATGAATGAAAACAGAAAAATTAAGACTTTAGTCTATGGTACTATGGATGGATCCAACAAAAGAGGCAGACCATATAGAGAATGGATTGATGATTTGAAGAAGTGGTGTGGAGCAAATTTACAGGAATTGAGAAAATCGACAATGGATAGAAATGGAAGAAAATAGTGGAAAAGGTGTCAGACACCAACGGGCGAGGATGATGATGAAAATTCTTCAAATTATGAAGTACCCTAAATAAATCTGACATTCTATTTTTTAATATATTTGGTATTTTTTATCTAATTAAGATTATTTAAGCAGTGTTTATGATAATATTTGATATAATGATTAATATTCTAATTTATTCATAGATGCATATATTTAAAATTAACTGGTATAAAAATTTATTTATTTAAAAACTGTAATAATTTTAAATTTAGATTAAATGAGGAAAGTGAATTGGAACAGACCAAAACTAAGAAAAATGTGAGATTTAATATTACAGAAAATCAAACATATGAAGGTTTGTAAATATTATTTATATAAATAAAATCTATTTATAAAAATAACAATATGCTTATGCCTAGTTAAATTATAGATAAACGATAACCAAATAATTAATTTTTTATATTATTACATTATTACATTTTTTAATTAAAAGAATTTGCTATTATAAAAGTATGAAGATATGTCATTTTGTAATAAATTAAAATTTTGATTTAATAATATAAAATGTTGAGAAAAGTGAAACTTGCATACTGTTTTAGAATTGTATATCTAGAAATTTAACTTTGAATCTTAAATAGCATAATAAGTAATATGTCAAGGTGACTTGCAGTAGTTTGACATTTCATGCTCATTAAATCTTTTTTTAGGTATTTTTAAAGTAATAAATTAAAAATTGAAATTGTCTTATGAGGGGACGGCATGATGTCGGGGTCACTGATTTTGATCAAATTTGGTGAGGATATAGTGCATCCCCAACAACTGACATGTGCCAAGCAGTAAGTGCAATACTCAAAATTAAAGGGAAAAATTAAAGTTGAAAATTGCAAATCACTTAAAACTATTAGAATTTCCACATTTATAGAGTGGCCAGTGGCTCGGTGGAGATCAACAGTTTCGTAATTGTGATGTTGGTGTTTCAAATCACATTAGTATTAATTTAGTGTTTTCCCTCCTAAAACTATAATTTTTAATTTATTATATTGTCAGAGAGAAAATTGATTTATTTTTAGAAAACTACAAATGCACAAAAAACAGGGTAATAAAACAATAAAATCCATCTGTTTTAAGTAACAAGTCAATGTCAAAAGCAATTAACAATGTTTCCTAACAATATTTATTTAAAAACAAAGCATTTTCTGTATTTTCATGTACAGTACACAGTACATACTTACTCTGGTAACAGTCATTGTTTAACCTAAATATGTCTCTAACTGCATCTTCCTTTGCTAACGAATGAAAAGATGGCTTTGATATCTCGTGCTAACATTGATAGCGTAGAAATTTGTTCTGCAGAAGAATCATTGCAAGACAATAGAAAATTTATATATTGTGAAAGCATCCTTCAAAATCAAGCTAATTGCAGTTGAGGGTTCTTCATCAATTTCAGAAGTTGCAAAGGCAGTAGAATAAAACATTTAAGTGCTGTGACATTTTCCAATGTGATACAGTATGAATGATTCTCCTCTAAATTAGTTGATGATAAAGTGTCTTTAAATATTAATCAAGTTTGTTTATTCCAGTGACATATGTAAATTTTCTTCTTACTGTAAATATCTGCATTTATTCAACATGTACACTGCAGAAATGTTTATTTCACATGATTCTATGACAATTACCATTCACAAAATTGTGCTCACAAAAAGTAAACACAATATGTTAATAAAAATGCCTTTCTTATTAACAAACTTGGCCTTAAATAATGATAAGTTTGTTTAAATCTAATCTTCTTTCCAAATAATTTATAAATACTGTATATCTGCATAGATAAGATGACCTTCAAATAAATCAATTTTTTGTCAAAGTTTTATAGTTTTAGCATATATCTGTCCTATAAGATGACCCCAAACTATCAACGGCCTATGAATTTAGTTTAGATCAGCGATCATCATCTGGATAATAATACTGTATAGCAGCATTTCTCAAAGTGGGAAATAACACCCCCTTGTGGGCGATGAGTAAATCTAGGGGGCTCTGGAGGCAGGGAGGAATGGTGATCAAAGGCAAAATTGGGGTCAGTGAGAGCCGTTTCCTTTCCTCTGTTAAACAGGAAAGGAAACGGCATTTAATGGTTTCCAGATGTTGAGAACAATGTACGGTAAGGGCACAAAGTGTGAGATTCATAGAAAAGTTTTCCTAAGAAAATTACCAATCCTTTCCAATTCTCACACAAGAGAAAATGGGTTAGGAGGCGTTGGGTATAACTTTATGGAACAAAGGGGGCGGTGGATTGAAAAAGTTTGGGAATCATTGCTGTATAGCATATACAGAATTATGTCCAATTCGTAATTTGTCAAATGAACAAATTTTATTTACTTGCATCTGGCAGCACTGCCTTGCTATTATTGCAAACATTCGCACTGATTCTGGCATTCGGGTGACCCTGACTATTCACAAAAACATTGTATGGGCTATTCTATTTTGTGGACATACCCTATTCTCTACTAGTAAATAATTATGGTTTGTCCACTTTTTATAATGGTTTTAATTTATGTAAATTTCACCTAATGTTTTTTGTATTTGTCCTATAAGACAACCCTGGATTTTGGGGTCTTTTTTTGTGATTCAACTATCCTCTTATCTTTGCAGATATATGGTAAATACTACTACAAATTCCATGTGTACACAAATATTTGAAAATAATTTTTANTATATTCGATGATTTAAAAGCATTTATAATCCATTGTAGTTTGTTAATTAATCCCTCAGAGTTTTCCCATCCTGGTAGATAAACATTTATTAGTATAATTCTTTTCATGTTTAACATCAATTCTGTAACTACAAAATATTGGCAGCTATAATCAGTATGCAGCATAGTGGAGTAATTTGTATTTGGGATAAGTGTGATAGCCCATGGGTATTCTTGTGTGCCTTTTAAAACAGGAACATTTGTAGGTAAGCATTTCGGTAAGTTGTTGAGACAGTACGGCTCTTGAATTAGCACAATATCATAGTCCTTAATAATTTTGTTAATTATAGAAGTGGAAGAAATGCTTCTTCCAATGTTTATTTGCAATATATTAACGTGTTTGTTGTTAGTCAAGTCCATAATCTGTTCTTGACTCAATGAATGTTTTAATTCTATGATGTAAACAATACCAACATAAAATGAAAATTAAATTGATACCAATGAGATTCGAAGCATCAACCTAACAATTATGAAACTGGCACACTTCCACCAAGCCACCAGTTGCTCTATAAATGTTGGAAATTCCAATGGTTTTATGTGATTTGCAATTTTCAACTTCACTTTTTTCATTTAATTTTGAGTATTGCACCTTACTATTGGCACATCAGTCATTGAAGATGCACCATATCCTCACCAAGTTTGATCAAAATTGGTGACCTCCAATGCCATGCAATCCCTTTGTTAGTCATCACTTAATAATAATATTTACCTTTAAAAGCAAGTTCATTTTAATTAATTTCCGTAGTTTAAAATTAATGTAATAAAATATAAATACAGTATTTTTTTTTTTTTTTACTGTAAGTAAAATCTACTGTTTGTAACTTCAGTAATCAAAATTAATTTTTATTACATTCACATTACAAAGTACTGATAGATGAATTGTAATTTTGATTGATTGAGTCTTAGTGACAAATTAATAGAAATGTGTTAAAATTCTGTTTATTTGACTTATATAGATTAAAACTATTGCAATAATAAATTTGTCAAATTCAAACTTTTCAGAAAAATTTGTTTTCTCTTTTTCAAAACTTAGCTGAAGATGAAAATAAAAGCTCTCAAATTATTTATCCATTTGCAATTATTTACATAACTAAGTTTGATTAATCATGCAAAATTTAGTAGTGAAGAATGACTTAAGAAATTATTTTTGTTATGGTATTTATTGAACTAGTCATTGTTAATGTAAGAAAAGAATACAGGGTGGATTTTCAGCATATGCTGTGTTTTCTGAATGCTGTTAAGGAATGTATTGCAACAACTATTAAACCATGTAACATTTTTATCATACTTCATTACATGGAAAGAACAAATTATTCCTTATATTTCAGACGATCAAGTAATTTTTTCGGCACTTTTCTGTTAGCAGGTCACCAGTTGATATTGATATATACAGCATCATATAAAGAAATGGCTATTTTATTGTGTAAAGTATGGTACATTTCAAGAAACATGGGCAAGTACAGAAATTAACAAATAAAAAACTTACAAATAGGATTTTCCACATTTCATGGGAGGCATAAAGTTGCAGATTTCATTTAACATTGCAGAAAACATTTTGTGTTTTTTTTCAAGTTTTAATTATTATGTGTTTTATTAAATCTACTTTCCTTTTCTTACTCTTTTACTCTGTTATGTCAATAAGATGATGGCATTTCACATTGGATTACAATTACAACTGGTGTTCCATTAATAGAAAAGTATCTTTTTTTCCTCAACAATACAATTTAATCTGTATTGCCTACTGAAGTTCATGTTAATTACTAGTTACATGATTATGCAAATAATTGTGAATGCCGCAGTATATTTCCCAGTAATAAATAATAGATTTAACATATAATAATAAAGATTTGTAAGGATTGTATAATTGTGACAAATGGGGAATGACATGCTGAAGGAATTTGTTTTGCTCATAATAAAACATACTATTTAGTATTTTATTAGAAATAGTAATTATGTTTTATTTTTGTAAAGCATCAAAGTTAAGATTCTTGTAAAAACTGCAAGAGAAAATTTCATATATGGGCAATTAAAAATTTAATATGCATAATTAAAATTCAGTTATATAAAATTTTTTAATGAAAGTTTTTATATACTGTTCTTATTTTGACTATTTACTCACTTTAAATCCTTTTAGTTTTTTCCATTGACTCCATAGTAGAAATTAAATGATTTGAACTGCTGATATGTTATGGAGCCTGATTTTTATTTTAATAAAACAGTTTTTGAGACTGTCATGGCATCAGATCAAAAGTTGTTCTAATTTGAACATGTATTGGTAGTCTTATCATATCCCCCCTCAATACAGAATGTGTAATGATCTTGACCCATGGATGTAGTTAACATTGTTCATGGAAAAGTGAAAATTTTCATGATCAACATGAAATATTATATGTTGAATTGTATCCTGTGATGAGATTTACACATTGTTAGCTAATTTATAAGATATATGAAGTTTTATGTAATTAATTTCTTTACCCTAATTTTTCATTACTTAGTTTGTTTTAATGTTTTGTTTATTTTTTTTATATGTTAATGTTACATTTTTATTATTATTATTTTTTTTTATATTACTATTATTTTTGTGTATGTTAGAACATAATTTTGGATTTTAACTCATTTAGATGATTTGATGGAATGATTAAGTTTGAATTTTAATCAATTACTTCAGAATAGTGATGCACAAAATATTTTCATTTTTGATCTCCCCATTTTATGAAAAGTTTGTCACAACCCCCTGGATAGACAATAGACATTTTTTGTATAAATAGTAGACATTTACTATGCAGTGATACTGTTGCACTGCAAGCTAAATATGCATGTGTCAACATGTGTTTCTGTTGCTGTAAAGTTATCAGTATCGCTGTCTGTTTGCCTGCTGGTTGCTGAAGTATAGGTATTAGGTACTAATACAGACAATTTTTTTCGTTAAAAAAATATAGTTCTTATAAATAGTTTCTTATAGTTTTTATAAATAATATAATTTCATTTCACTATTTTACTGGTACCTAATACTTGTTGAAGAAAAGCCTTATATTTTTTATTATTAAGTAAATTTCTTTGAATTTTTCAGGTTGCCCACTACTACTATAGAATATCAGTATGATAAGTTTAAATTAGAACTTTTAATCTGAGTTAGTCTTGTTTTATTGAAATAAAAATTATAATCCTTAACTTTTATTAGTTTGACTTGTTTAATTAAATCTGTTCTTTTACTTCTGAAATTTAGAATTAACTTAAATTGTTTTAAAATTAAATTTAATATTTTTGCAATATAGAGTGCACAGTAGAGTACTAAATCACCCAAATAATTTTTCAATAAGATATTGGTATGGTAAGATGACCATGCATTACCATATGAGACTGATGGCAGCAATCCTATGATAAAATTTGAAAGCTGACATTCCTGTCTTAAACTATGAGAGGTACAGGAAAAAAGTATATGAGGAAGTTGCAGTGCATCAAATTAATAGTAAATGACATTGCATAAAATTAGATGATGCAAGTAGAAGCTGGAAACTGCATATGATGTTATCATTTGCCTATGAGCAATATACTCTCTCATTGGCAAAAGATGGCTGTGACATGTTACTGCTCCTACAGATAGAAACTCAGATGTTGTAATGTGCAAATAGTTGTCAATCATCAGATAGTCCTTTGAAGAGCTTTGTGAAATGTACTACTGTACAACAAATGTTGATGATATGATAGGAAGTTGCGGAGCTTACAATTTCCTACTGCCCCACATTCAACTGCATAAACCCCATTTTTTGTATAGTAATCTATGTATTGTAATTTTTATTATTAATTTTTTAGTACCAAAAATAGATCAAACAATGAAAAATGAAGTTGTTAAGAAGAAAAAATTAAAGAAGAAAAAGAAAAAGGGAAAAGCTGTTAAAGAAAGTGAAATACAGGTAACTATTTGAAATTTTTTTTATTATATTTTAAAATGAAAATAATTACTGAATTATTTGAATGCTGAAATATTTAAACAAAAAAATTACTAAAAATATTTTATCTTGAGATTGTAATACATAAAAAAGAAAGATATTAATTATTTTCAAAATTTAAATGTTGTTTAAATAGTTTGAATACATATATACTTTATTCAAATTTGGAAGTTCAGTATACTTCTTTAGAAATTATTTGCTAATTATGAAATTATATAACGGGTGGACAAGCAAGAGTTCAGTGGGAGCCGAACTGCAGGTTTTGCAAAATGCATGGGTGCCATTATGCATGGGACCAAAATGCATAGTTCTGTACTTTTTTATTCTTTACTGCAGTTCTGTACCATGATTTTATTATATAAAACAAATATTGAATTTTTTAATAAACATATTTTCACAAAATTGTGGAAATAAAATTGTAAAAATAACAATAAAAAGCAGAAATTAACACTATTAGCAAGAGCCGCATGTAACTCAAAAAGAGCCGCATTTGCCCATGGTGGTTATATAAAATTAAATCCAAAACTCTGTTTTAATTCTGCAAAATAAAAATAACTGTTTCATTTAGAGCATATTTATTATAAGATTCTTTGCTCCTTAAAAAGTTTCAAAAACAAAATGAAAAAATGTTTCTATTTAGACACATTATAAGAAAACAATATCTAGTTTGTTTATTTTGCTATTTTGCCAAATATGAATCATTTTAAAACTTTTATATGATATTATTCAAGGCCTATAAATGGTTGGTTGAGTATTATCTAAGGCTGTTTGGACAGTAAATATTTTTAATTGATGTAGAAAAAATAATATTACAGATGTATATTAAAAATAATAAAATTTTATGTATTTAAAAATTAATTAAATGATTTATTATTAATACATTTTTAGATATATTTTGAATATTCACATGATGAATTTGATACATGTGCACATGCAAAAAATTGAAACAAATGAAACTTGAAGATTTGAAGTTTTAATTATGCCAATATTTTCTCAGACTTAACTAAATTCAGCTGTTTCATAATTTGGACTATAGATTGCCATATCTGTAGTCTAAATTCTTGAATTAAATAATTTAATCAACAAATATTAACATAGGCATATTACATTTTTTAATATACAGTATATACAGGGTAATCATATGCAAATAAAACTTACAAGGAATCTCATGAGGAGTTTGGCAGTGTTATGAGTCAGACTTGGTGTTGCCTTGAGTCATTGGTGCAACTATTACAACCAATTCATCAAAGTCTGACTCTCAGCATTGTTAAATTTCTCATACTACTAATAATTTTTATTTTAATTTGATAACCCATATACAGAGTGATCTGTTTTAATCTGTCCACTGGAATAACCTGAAAAATATGCATCCTACAGAAAGATCATTATATTGAAAAGGTTAGACTTTTAGGGACCACAAGATGGGGCAGTCTGTTTCATCATAGTGATATCTATGATGAAACAGATTGCCCTAGTGGAAAGTTAAATTGGAATCTGCATTTTTTATTGTGTATGATTCTACATCAAATACAAATTAACTTTTAAATAAAATATTTTTGAAAAATGCACTTATCAGAAATCATGAGCATTTCAGGTTTTAAGAGGTCATCACAAGTGCAAGTATAAATCTGTGGATAACTGTGAAGTTCATTGAGAAAAGGAAGAAAAATGCTTAAAAAAGGTCATTAGAAAACTATTATTTGGTGGAATCAAAATCAATGACTTTTCTTTATCACGAGCTTGACTTTAACATGCTGTGACACTGGTTATTGCATCAGTTCATTATTTGAAGAAAAGTACAGATTCCATACTACTTATACACTTTAGATCAAAATAGTAAAGGCTAATCAATTAAATATTAGTTGTTTGTGTCTTCAAACTTGTATAATGTTCATTGACTACATGTAAATTTGTTTCAGTTTAGAACTTTAATAAGTTTCAGTTCTATATATTACTCTTTCCTGATTTAAATAATTTCTTGTAGTTTATAAGAAATAGAAAAAAATGTTTGTTAACTTTGCACTTTCTTTCCATTTTCTCACTCATACCATATAGAACAATATTAATACAGTTGAACCTGTCTATCTCAATCATGTTTATCTCAAAATTTATTTTTTTCCCTTGCATTTTTGGCCTAAATTCAAATTATGAACTGAAGTGTCTATTACAAATTCAAAGCTCAACAACTACATTTTGATAGCATAAACTATAGTTGAAAAACATCTCTTGCAATACCATACATACTTGCAACTAATATTACTTTCTCTGATTAGCTACAACTCTGTCTTGTGTTTTATTAGTTGAAGACTGTCAGGCATCAGAAACTATTGACAACTGTTTCTGTTAAAGTTTGTAAAAAATGTTTTCTTTATACATAATACAGGTATGTACTGTACTTGTTGTTTTGTTAATAAAATACTATACCTCCAGTCAAACCTATTAACCTATTAGCATTTATTGTGTAGAAACCTTTATATCTCAAAACCTGTATCTACAATTTGTTTTCCTTGTTCCCATAAGATTTGAGATAGATGGGTGTAAGTTTAATTTAATTTTGTCAAAAGTTTTGAATTCCTTATGAAATTGATTTCAAATTGATGTATTATTCATTATGTTTGGAATTAGCAAAATGGATTAAAAAATCTAAAACTACATGAGGTATTGTAGGACTTTTGAACTAAGCTGTAACATAGAGTATAAAGTAAATACAGTATAAACTTGAAATATGTTTTGAATTTATTATAATATATTTATTTGTAATTGAATTTATTATATATTATGTTTTCTAAATAGAAATTTTATGGATTTCAGCAAATTCTGTAAAAATAAATAAATAAATAAATGTTGAATATAGGAACTGTTCTACTCTCAGCACCAGGGTGAAATCAACATTGCACTATCTGGAACCTGTGACCGGTGCTCAACGCGTATATACTGTATATCGCTGTTGATAAACATTTTCGAGCGATCCCTTTGCTCTTCTTCAGGTCGACTGAAATTCCCCGGACAGAGTGTATAATATTTGTTGGGATTGGAACTGACACCCGATCCCAACAAATAATATACACTCTGTCCGGGGAATTTCAGTCGACCTGAAGAAGAGCAAAGGGATTCGATTTTCCG